TTCTACTCTGGCACCCCTTCCCCGTTCACCCCCGCCCCCCAGCTCCCCCTGTGACCCACCTGCATAGGGCCTGACAGCGCACTGGGGTCATCCAGTGGGAGGCCCGTGACAATGGTCACCATGCCGCTTGGATCCTCCTCACCTGCCCCCTGGGCCAGGGTCAGCTGTTTGCAGCTGTCCAGGATCTTATAGAGGGTCCTGGTAGGAGGAGGAGGAAGAGGGCCGAGCCCCGCATTAGAACCTGGACTCCAGGATCACCAGGGCACGGGGGAAGCTGGGGACAGGGAGGGCAACAGGCAGTCAGGGGCAGTGTTTCTGGAAGGTGATGCTAGACGGTGTCCAGCGGGCCCACGTACACTGAGCAAGGACACCAAGACTCTCAGGGCAACGGGGGGTCTGGGGCTGCAACTTCTTACTCCCTCTGAGGGGACGTGAACAGGTGGCCCTGGGCTGGCCCTGCTCAGAGAGCAGCGAGGCAGCAGCGACCTGAGGCCCAGGAGCGCCGGGCTGACGTCTTACCAGGCATCCGCATCCTGCCTCTTCAGCTTGTGCCTCTCGAAGCTCTTTCCCACCTCTTTCTGGCAGCGAATATACCTGGGAAGGAGGCGGCAGAGGGAGGTGGGGGGTCAGAGGAGAGGGCGGGCGCCTCACACAAAGCACCTCATTGTGGCCCCGGGGAGGGGGAGGGGCGCCTCCCTCCCTTCGCAGCTCTGTTCGGAGCCATTTCCAAGTGGCTTCCCGGCGGCTGAGCCCAGCTTGCTTTTCCTCCCGATAACACGGAGCGTTTGGTTCCTCCCAGGGGAGGAGCTGGAAGAGGAGAAGCGGCGGATGCTTTTCAAGTCAGGGCTTCTGGAGACCAGGCCCAGACAAGCGGGCTTTGTGCAGCTTCCTGGGCAGGCAGAGGCAGAGGCAGAGGCGGGGGGAGCAGGGGCCGGCCTCTCCCTCTTCCGCACCCGCCGCCCGCCGCTCTTCTGGCCCCAAAGCCCAGAAAGAAGGGCCCGCACTGGACACAGCGCCGACCCACTGCCACCTGCTCGTCCCCGCACGGCTCCGGCGGGATGTGCGCGGGCCAGAGGAGGCGCTCCCAGTCCGGGAAACTCTGCCACCGGCCCGAGCCTAGAGCAGGAGCGACTCCTGCAGAGGAGCCCGCGGCCTGCGGTCAGAGGTCTGCCCCCATCTCCCTGGTGATGCTCTCTCCCGGCTGCCCCAGAGGCAGACACACTGCAGGTCAGAACGCCCCACGGGGCTCCAGGCCCACTGACCACCCTCCATCCAGTCTCCGGCCTGCCTTCCCGCACAGTGAGCAGGATTACAAGCGTGTGTCTCACCCAAGGGAGCGAGAGCAAACATGCGTCTGTCGACTGGGAGACCGACACGGGGCTTAGGAGTCACCCTGCCGGGGCCCCACTCACCTGTTTCCTTTTTTAAACTCTGCCTCCAGGTATCGGATCCCATCCCGGGCCCCTGGGTGTTCCTTCTTCAGCAAATCCAAGCCGTCGATCACTGGTGGGGGAGGTGGAGGTGGGGAAGGACAAAACACATGAGCCCGTGCCTTGGTGGCGTGGGGCCCTGCAGGAGGCCATCTGAGCCCGTTCCAGCACGTGCTGCAGGAAAAGCGGGGACTGTGGCTCCTATGGGGCTCCCGAGGCCTTTCAGAGTACAACCTGCGAGCGATGTACCTAGCGATTTACCAAGTGCGTTCACTTAGACTTTTCTGTTTCTCCCAACTGTCTCATAAGTCAGAGTTAAACAGAGATTGTCACACACACTTCACAGCTGAAGAAGACTGAGCTTTAGAAAGGTGGCAGGACTTGACTGAGGCCGCTGTGTGTAACCCGGGCCCCCATGAGGGTCTCTCAATTGTAAACCCAAAGCCTCTCGTGGCCACACTCTGTCCCCCCACCTGCCCAGCATGCCCACCTGTCCTCGGGATGATGACGATGAAGCGGCCACTGGTGGCCAGCTGGCGGATAACCGGGAGGTGGTGGCAGAGGGCCTGGGTGTCGGGGACGAGGTAGGGAGACATCGCCGACTGGGCCTTGGGCTGCTGCAGGCTCCCTTCTAGCTGAGAGACCTCGAGCTGGGGAGAGAGGCAGAGTGTGGGGCTGCGTGGGCCTGCAGCCTGGGGCAGGCAGGGGGAAATGGAACCCAAGAGGGTTCTTGCGTGGACGGGGGACTCCTTGTACCAAGGGCCTTGGAGAAAAAGGAGACAGAAAGAAGGATAAGGGAAAGAGAAAGACAAGGAACAGACCAATGAAGGCCGAAAGGGCATTAAGCCTCAGTGAGGAAATGAGAAAGGGAAGGTGGTCTGAGAGGTGATCTGGGTCAAAGTAAAGGCCACTATGGAATGGGGAGGCAGAACAAAGCAGGATGGGGGTGGGAGGCATGGATCAGAGCAGGGGTGGGGGTGGGGGGGACAGCAGGACGGGGTGGGAGTGCGGGGGACAGGAGGACGAGGTGGGGGCGGGGGTGGGGGGGACAGGAGGATGGGACAGGAGGACGGGGCAGGAGCACCCGAGCCCTGACCACTCACCTGGAGTCGTAGCTGGGCCATGTCCCGCATCAACCTGTTCCGACGTGCTTCCTCCTGAGCCTACGAGGCAAAACACCAAGTGCTAAGCTCGGGGCCAAGAGCTGGGCCCATAACCCTTTCCGCAGCCATCGAGAGGTTTAAGAGATCATCCAAGAGGCACTGCCAGGGTCGGAAACGGGTGGGGCCTCATACAGAGTCAGCTCTCGCTCCGGGTGGTGAGGGAAAGGGAGGCTTGGGAGAAAATCGGTTTCTCCGGCAGGCAACTTGTGAGCAGACACCCCGGGAGGGAGCAGGACGGCGGCCGGCTGCACGGGACTGTTCATCTCTGCTCCGCCCGACCCTCCCTCCGGGGCTGCCTCCATCACCGCCCACCTGCCAACTTCCCCAAAGCACCAGCTCCAGCCCAGACGGCCCCTTCCTCTCCTCACAACCTGCCGCCCCCCAGCTTGGTAACAGGCCACCGCCTGCCCAAGTCAGGAGGCTGAGCTGGCCGTGACTGTTCCTTCCCTGTCTCAGCTCCTGAAGTCACCGCTTTCCAGTCCGGTGACCGCACCTCCTTCGTCACCCCTGCACGACCGCGGTCTAGGCCGGTTCCTCCCTCCCTGCCGAGCACAGCCTCACTGGTCCCCGCCTGCACCCCAATCCACTTTCCCTGCCTACAACCAGGCAGGGAATGCTGCCGACGCCGTCTGGTGCCCACCGTGGTCCTGACTAAAACCCTCTGATGGCTTTCCTTGGTCTTCCAGAGGATGTCCCAATTCCTTACTGGGGTCTAGAAGATGAGGTCAAGGATGGAGACTTATCCTTAAAGATACTGGGGGGTGGAGGGGGAGCCACTGAAGGCTCTCTGATGAGCAAAGGGGTGTCCTTAGAGCGTGCTTTAAGACATTAACCTCAGTGGGGGGACGGCTGGGAGGCTCAGTCGGCTAAACATCTGACTTCAGCTCAGGTGATGAGCTCACAGGTTGTGAGTTCGAGTCCCATATTGGGCCGTCAGTGCAGAGCCTGCTTTGGATCCTCTACCTCTTTCTCTGCCCCTTCCCCGTTCTCTCTCTCAAAAACAAACATTTTAAAAAAACACATTAACCTGGAACACACAATCCCATTCCAACCATCGGAATACACGGCTAACACGGATCTGGACAAAGTCAAGTGAGCAACATTCTACAACATAAGCGACCGATACTCTTCAGAACCACCAAGGTCCTGAAAGGAAGACTGAGGAACTGTCACAGACTGCAGCAGAACAAGGACACGTAAGAACCCAACATGATGTGGGAGCCCAGAAAAGGAAACAGACATCAGCGGGAGAACTAGTGAAAATGAACGAAATCTACCGTTAACGGTGTCGTCCGGTCCCAACGCCCTGTCCTGACAATTACACTACGGTTCCGCGGTACGCACCTACCCCCCCCC